AAAAATGAGAATAAAAAACATAGTCGTTATGGGCTCCACACAAAAGATAAAAAGTCAAATATGGTGATTTGATGTGATGAATAACAGTCATATTTTTTATTTTAATGAGAAAATAATGGAACTCAAACAGGGTCATAGTATTTCATAAAATTGAACAATACGTCTCGAGTACGTACTCATGCAAAGAAGTCAAAACCACGAGAATAATGCAATCAAATGTGTCACCCCCACTATGGAGAACTTTGATTATTTCATCCTCAAATTCATGATTGTCAATCCAATTCTAATAAATTGAGGCCACTCCTAAGTGCACGCAGTTGACAAAAACACAAGTACAAATTAATTTTGAGACATAGGCTGAAGAAAGATTATCTCTTGTGATCACACTGGCTCACGTTCTCTCTGGGATAATAAAGAAAATTATGAACATCAACTAATTCAGTTTGTTAAAAACTTGTGTGATAACGAACTTTGAATTCAAAGAAATAAGATATTATTAATAAAGTACACAAGACAATCGAAATATTTTAATTTGTATTATATTTCGTTACTTACAAGGTGAAACCTCTATACATGGGATTACAACAAGGAGAATTGAACATGAGATACATCATGTTTGGTAGAAAAAATTACGACGTTGTATCCCTAGGAGATTATGTGATTTGTAAAATATTAAAGTAAAAGTTAAGGGATTTTGAGTTTTGTAAGTATTAAATAAATTTAGAGGAGCTATGGATTTGAGGATAAATGAACTTGTACACCCATAAAAACACATAATCTCGTGGAGAATATTCAAAAAGCTTCAATGCATTGCTCATGAGAAGATTAGGGTATTTTGAATGTTCAAAGTAATAGGGAAATATCTATAGATAGAACTAGAGGAAAATTATGTGCATAGCCTTCGTTGGGGAAGAAGTCATAAACGGTTAAATTTATAAATCAATAATAATGAGTAATGAATAGTACTTATGAATTCATTAATATTTGTGGTTGAAAATGAAGTTTGATTATTTATAAATCTTATCGAACGGAGAAATAAAATTAAACGAGCATGAAATCGTGTATGGTTGCAGGGAACTTAATTTACATTTCTTATGTTGCTTTTCCAAAAAGTAATATTTAGAATCCGTTTGATTGTAAAGATTGAATTGAATTGAAAACGAATTCTAGGGAATTGAATTGCCTAGAATTTTTTTTCCTGAAAATTGTAAATTATTGTGTTTGATTGGTATAATTTTTCATGTGAAAAATATTGAAATAAGAGTATTTTTTTAGTGTTCGTTTGACTTTATTTTATATGAAAATTATCAATTAAAGGGATAAAATTTATTGGTATTGGGGATGAAATTTGTTTCTATCGCCAACAAAAAAAAAAACATATATCTTTTGGTGTTCGTTTAGTTTTGTTTTACATGAAAATTATTATTTAAAGAAAAATATTTTTTTACAATTAGAAATAATTTATTTTCATTGACCAAAAAAAAATTAAAAAAAAAAGGAACTTGGAAAACAAATTCTCACCTAAGGATAGGAATTATAATTCCTTAAAAAGCTAGAAATCAGGCTCATGAGCGGAGGGGTGGGAAAATCATTTTTAGGGAAAAACTTTGCCATCAAACTTTGTTAAAGTTGGAAAGTGGAATTCTATTTCTATTTTCCATTGATTTTCCATGCTATCAAACATGGCCTTAGTTTATTATAAATAAATAACTACTAATCTCATCTGGACACGACGGGTCACCAAGTTCACATGTCTAGATTTTATTTCAAATCAAAGTCAATGATTAATTTTAACAATACTTGTTACGTGACCCACAACTTTTCAACATACATGTCATTAATTTATATGAAAATCTACTAAAAAACTTATTTTAATCTCCAATAAAAAAGGGGTGAAATTGTATTTTTACATCTCGCTCGCTGAAAACAGTTGGTCAACCCCGGAACCTTGAGAAACTTTATAATTTCAAGGTCTATTTAACTAAAGCCGGAACAAGCAACTTGCTCTAGAATTTGATGTTGATTGCCTAACACTCCATAAAAATACACCATTTTCTTTGTTTTTAAAATAGACTACTAATTCTTGATCATGAATTGAAAAATGCTGGATTTACATTTTAAATATTGCAAATGAGCAGCGGAACATTTGAAATATAGCCCCTATTTGGTAACAAATTTTCACTCATAAATATCAAATTTTTTATCGTTATTTCACTATTTTAGCCGTCAGTTTTCATTTCTTTACTCACATGTGAAATTCACTTTTCTTTCTAACGATCAAAAAATTAATTCCCATAATCACTATCGAACAAGTATTTTATAAAATTGAGCAATACCTCTCGAGTACGTAATCATGCAAATATGTCAAACACGAGAATAATGCAATCAAACGTGTCACCCCAACGATGGAGAACTTTAATTATTTCATCCTCAAATTCATTGTTTATTGGACGTGCTGTAATATTCAGTGGCAAAGTCAATATGGAACCATCATCAAATCTGTATGGCATCATAAAGTGGGAAAAAATGTGTATGAAAATGACCATTAATGAAAATTTAATTTGACTATCTCAAAATGAATGACCCACAGAAGATGCACTGCAATGAACCAATGATACCATTAAAATTCAAATGATGTGATTTAATATATAGTTCTTAAAAAAAAATTTAACTGCTGAATTTATGAAAATTTAATGAGTAAAAGAGATAGTAGACGAATGCATAAAATACGAATCTTTGGAAAAATGAAAACAAAAACAAGAAAAGAGAACAAAGCCTAACTCTCATCATCCTTCACACGATCGAGAGTTCGTGAAAGAAGGATTGGTCATTGAAGAAACATCTTAAACGACAGAAAGATATCGTAGAATTATTTGTGAATTTTTTATCTTCTCTCTTCGGACATATACTCGACAAGAAATTTACTCAATCTCAAATATCCTACCTACTATTAATTTATAAAGATATGTCACATAATTAAGCTATATATAGTTAGACATGATTCATGTGATGAAGTCCACACAATTAAATAATATTAAGGAGAGAAGACAAATAAATAAAATCCAAACAATTCTTGTTTATTTACACCAATCTTGCATTCAAAACATGCCAAATAGTCGATGGTCAACTCTGCTCCTTAAGAACATGCTATACAATCATGGACTCGGTGTATATCCCTGTATACTCTCTTCGTCCCATTGATATAAGCTAACTTTCATTGTTTTATTGTTCCAATTATATAGTCATGTTTCTTAATTGAAAATATTTTATTTTGTTCGTTTACTAATACACTATTATTTAATTTGTCTAGTTATAATTAATTTTTCCCACTTAATCTTGAGATTGTATAAATATAAATAAGGGTAAACTAGAAATTTTAATGGCAAAAATTATTTTTTCAATAACATTAAATAAGATTTCTTAATCCGCGTGAGAAACAAAACAACCTTATATAAATGGGATGGAAGGAGTACTAAAAGAGTGACTTGTATTGGCACTATTCCTATAGATGTGTGCCCAGTTACTAATCCTGTATCTCTCTTTTTTCTTTTTTTCAAGTTACTGTTTTGCCTTTTTTTTTTTGGGACCGAATGAATACGATGTCAATCTCCTCCTTTGTTTTTTCTTCTAATTGCAATACGACTTTTTTTAATTCCTCATTTAATTTTAAAAAAAAACAATGTTTTGATATAATTTTTCCATTTAATACCATTCCCACATTACACTTTCTGAATCCTTATATATATGCTTCTTACAAAGAGAAGTGTTACAACGGAAAAAAAATAAAATAAAATAAAATTCCAATCCTTAGTGTATTCGAGTGATTATGTTTGATGTAAATCGATGCTTAACACATAATTTTATTTATTTTTTTTTTTTATATCTACTTTATTACATATAGTTAACTATATTATGACACGTGCTTGCATCTCACGGGTAATATGACAAATACCCAATTAATAAAATGTCGACGCCCGACGTTCCGGTAGGATTCTTTGTTAAGATATGATTGCCACCCTTTGTCTCTCCTGACCATTTTTTCCTCTTTATATCTACTCTATGCAACATAGTTAACTATATTATGGCACGTGTATTTTTTTTATTTTTATTTTTTGAAATTAATTGCTTTAGATTGAGATTCATGACACGTCTAGAACGAGAAAATATCTAATGAATATTGGGATGGAAAGTCAAAAAATAATTAGTCTTCAGCGTGCCTTTACAAGGATATCCACATTAATATATGAATTTAAAATCTTGCATTGAAACCATATATATATATAGATATATTGTAAAAAATAATTTTTTGAAGAATCGTTACAAAATAAGAAAATTTTTGGAATTACGTACAAAATTATTTTATTAAAAGAATGTTCAATTAAAAATAAATTTGAAAAAATGAAATTTAAAGAATAGGACTCAAACGGAGCTAGAGGACTCCTCATACTTTGCATGAAGAATTGTGTATTCTAACAAATATGGGCCCCGTTGGCAAAACTATACAAAAGTAAAAAGTTACTTCTAAGTTGAAAAATTACTTTTGAACATGTTTGAATAATTCTCTATATATGATTTACTTACTTGAAAGAGATTTCGAAAGAAATTGATTTAAGGTAATTTTTCTCGAAAAATTTTCTACAAGAAATAGAAGTTGAAGTAAAAAATTATATGAGTGGTCCCCATATACGGCCATATCCAATGTATTGTCGTGTAAAACTAGCAATTAATAAAAACTTAATTTGCATATATTGTAATAGTATGACACCAACTTGTTCAACTTTGTCATCAATTACCATATAACTAACTGCAAATAGATAATAGTGGCAGAAATAATAATGGGAGAGGCGAACGCAATTCACGGGCGACCCCGTTTGTCTGCTAAAAATAAGGTTTGACTTTTCCATAGAGTTAGTAATTTCATTACGCAATATACGGTCTGTACGTTCTCTCTCATCCGTACGTCGACCTTAACTCTCCATTTTCTTCACACATATATATCTGCAAGTGTACAACTTGTGAATTCATATCACACATATTCCTCACAACCCCATCCCAACTACCTATAGATTCAAGAGAATTGTACTCATTCTGTGTCTATATACAAAGATGATGTACCAGCAGCAGCAACAAATGAGGTTGGACATGAGGAAGAGACATGATCATGGTAGGAGATCGAACCTCATAGAAGAAGAAAAACTTGAAATTGTTGATCTAAGTGGGATGTCTTTGGAGGTTCTCCCCAATCCTCCTCTAAGCTTAGGAACCATTTGCAAATTAGATCTCTCCAACAACAATCTTCAGGTGCCATTTCAATCAAAACTTTGTAATTTTTCGTTTCATGTACGTTCTTTTGATACAAAAACATTGTAGAACACTAGGGGTAGATCGAAAATAATTTGACCCTTATAGCTGTTTATTAGAATCTCATTCGTTTGGATCTTTTAGTCCATCTAACAATGAACTAAACAGATGGGCAGTGATTAGCCCCCGTTTGACAGCTATTTTCTAAATTCATTTTCAACCACGTATTTAATGAGATCTACAACTTTTATCAACTTTCATTTCAGCAACTTTTAAACAAAGGATTAGTTTGTTGTTGTTTTGTTGATGAATCGAAAACAAAGTTGAGTTCTTGATTTAGTGTAGTTTTTAATTGTTTTTTTGTCTTCTCCATTTGATAGAATATTCCAGAGTCCTTAACAGCAAGACTCTTGAACGTGGTTGTGTTGGATGTGCACTCGAATCAGCTCAAATCCCTACCAAATTCAATTGGATGTTTGTCAAAGCTTAAGGTTTTGAATGTATCGGGCAATCTTCTCCAAGCGCTTCCTCGGACCATCGAAAATTGTAGGTTCGTTCTTTCTCCTCCCCGCCTCTTGTATACGTTATGGACCAACAAAATGTCAGGATCGCCTGTGTTACCGCTCAAGATTATTAAGCGGTAATAACCTTGAGTCATATCAGATTATTAAGAACTTTCTATTTTTAGTAGGTCATGAACTTGATTTAAATCGTTATCAATATATCTCTAAGTGATTCTATTTTTATTTAACCGTACCAAATAATTTGACTCTAATATTTTATTTTGCTACAAATGCTTTGGGCCGTTAATCGACAAGACGTTCAGCATAGTTGTTAATTTCTTTGTATTCTAAAATGCTTTTGTCTCTATCATTCACGCCCGGTTGTTTAGATTGATAGTAAAGTATGGATAGGTGGAAAACAATCAATTTCCATTTTGTCATCATACCTTTTTCATCGTGCCCGTGGTCCATCTATTTAATTTAAATTCATGTTATTTTAAGAAGATTAATTCTTCCATTCGTAATAAATGCTGTGAATTAATGTACTTCATTAAAAACTAAGGGACCCTTCAACCATTAATATATAGTAATTAATTCTATAATAATTTCAAACAATTTATCTATTAAATATATACACTGTAGTATCTATATCTTGAATATAGAGAGTGACGTTTATTTTATTTCTAACAAGATTAAATTAGTCCATGTGTATTACATTCAATTCGAAAGAAAAATAAACTTCTATTAAAAATTTTAACATTTATTTTCTATTTATAACGTATTCTTTAATCTAACTTTGAGGATAACTCAATCATCAGGCCTTGGGTTTGCTCCTCGATGATTACCAGTTCAAGTCCACTCAGGACTATTGAAATGAGTACCCGATCATAAACTTTAGGGTCCCATGCAATTAGTCGCGGTGCTCGTAAATTGATCCGAACATCCAAAGTTATAAAATAAAGTTAAAAAAAAGTATTCTTTAATCTAAAATCATAATTTTAGGCACTGCATTTACCAAAATAATAATAATAATAATGAACATTTGCTGAATTATCAATCGAACAATATAATTTTGGTTGAAAATATTTTCCAACTGAATATTGTTTGTTGTACTTGATATGTTGTACTAAACAGTTGAATGTGAACTGCAGATCACTGGAAGAACTAAATGCAAACTTCAACAAGCTAAGCCAACTCCCAGACACTATAGGATTTGAGCTTCTCAACCTCAAAAAACTCTCTGTCAATTCAAACAAGCTTGTATTCCTCCCTCATTCGACATCCCACTTAACGAATCTACGAGTATTGGATGCGCGTCTCAATTGCCTTCGTTCCCTTCCAGACGACCTCGAAAACCTCATCAACCTACAAGTCCTCAACATTAGCCAAAATTTCCAGTACTTGGCAACCCTTCCATACTCCATAGGCCTCCTCATTTCTCTAGTCGAATTGGACGTAAGCTACAACAAAATCACGACCTTGCCCGAGTCCATAGGTTGCCTCAAGAAGCTTCAGAAGCTCAGCGTCGAAGGAAATCCGCTTGTATCGCCTCCAATGGATGTTTTCGAGCAGGGATTGCTGATGGTGAAAGAGTACTTGTGTGACAAAATGAATGGATCTCATAAGAACTCCCCCAAGAAAAAATCATGGTTTCGAAAGTTGGCAAAATGTAGTACTTTCAGTGGCGAAAATATACCCCTCGATGATAGAGAAGGTTACATAATGCAGAATTATAGATCCATTGAAGGCCTGGCATCACCTAGATATATGGGAATGTTTTCTCCAAAAAGGCTATTCTCACCAAAATCCTACTTTTCTAGATGAAGTTAATTACATGTTGTGGATGCGAATACATAATTTGTAAGTTTCGTAGTATTGTGTTTTAAGAGTGCAATAATTTAGGCATATCGAAGTTGTATATTAATCATCTAAGACTGCTTTTTAATACTCAATTTCAGTATTGTTAATTAATGGCTTGTACAATTCGTGCTGAAATGCTTGATTGGTCCACTCAAGAAATGGAAATTGAAAACTTTCTGGTTTTTCTTTTCTTCCTTTTTAATTCCAATTTTTAGTTAGTTCATGTAATTTTTGGAATTCAATGTTTTTCCAAATTCGAGTTACATCAATTTCTATGGTTCCTAGTTGATGGTGCATGCCAATAGTCCAACCCACTCGATCTCATGTACCTAATTAATGGTCTCTAGCGTTATCTGTCTAGTTGATAGCTGAAGAGAGGCATGCAAGTGATGGTACCAATCAACTCAAATTTGATAATTGTATGAAAGAGTCAAGATTTGTTGTCACGAGGTTGCTTTCTCCATAGGCACATTGCACATTGGTACAATTTTTGACACATCAACACATTACAGATTGACATCTTTTCATTTACTATAAAAAGGTAATGCATTAAGGTGTCGAAAATGTATTGATGGAACAGTCAAGGGACAATAATTTCAGAGTAACGTATCTGGACTTCATTTGTAGTATCTTCGGTATTTTTCTTCTCATCACGAGATAAATATATACTTGTGCTGATTTATTCAAATTTTAGTCTAATTGTTTGCACAAAAATTCAGTTCACTTGCTAGCAGGTTCGATCATAAAAAAATAAAGCCATGTTTGATGTGGATTAAAATCTTGATAAAAATTTAAGTTAAGGTCAAGTTTTAATTTTGAGCTTTAACTACATATTTTATAGGACTCAAAACTTTTCAACCTCACATTTCAACTTTAAAATAAATAAATAAATCAAAATCTACTAAAATTTTGATTTTTAACTACACCTAAATATGGGCTAAAATTACAAGGTGTAGGTGCTTGGATCAGTCTAACCCATCTCCACTCTCCCACCCAACCCTCAGCCTGAAAATGCCTCCTAAGCTCATGTTTGAGCCACATTCTACAAAAGAAATACATTATTCATGTCAAATCAATAGAAAATATGTGGTTAAAAAATAAGAAATTTTTTTAGATTTACGTGTAACATTATTTTATTGAAAAATGTATGGTTGAAATGATGTCAAATCACTATTGAAAGAAAATTATTTTTTTTGAAAATAATATGGCTCAAACAAGTCCTAAATTTGTAACCCAACTCGCTTGCCTTGCCACAATCCCACCCCGCCATGTATCCGACTGGATCAACCTGATCCTCTACCTTCTCTGTATTCTCCCCGACTCTGCCTAAAGATGGCGATCGTAACTCTTCCTGCATCATGATCGTTTACACACTCGTTCTACTCATTCTACAAACTGATGGTAGTTTTGAAGATCGTAAATGATGTCATCATTGAGCGCCCATTTACAACCATACCTCTTTAATCGACTATTGGAGGTAGGGGGCGGAGCAAAGCAAGGGGGAAACAATGGATGTTTTCGAGCAGGGATTGCTGATGGTGAAAGAGTACTTGTGTGACAAAATGAATGGATCTCATAAGAACTCCCCCAAGAAAAAATCATGGTTTCGAAAGTTGGCAAAATGTAGTACTTTCAGTGGCGAAAATATACCCCTCGATGATAGAGAAGGTTACATAATGCAGAATTATAGATCCATTGAAGGCCTGGCATCACCTAGATATATGGGAATGTTTTCTCCAAAAAGGCTATTCTCACCAAAATCCTACTTTTCTAGATGAAGTTAATTACATGTTGTGGATGCGAATACATAATTTGTAAGTTTCGTAGTATTGTGTTTTAAGAGTGCAATAATTTAGGCATATCGAAGTTGTATATTAATCATCTAAGACTGCTTTTTAATACTCAATTTCAGTATTGTTAATTAATGGCTTGTACAATTCGTGCTGAAATGCTTGATTGGTCCACTCAAGAAATGGAAATTGAAAACTTTCTGGTTTTTCTTTTCTTCCTTTTTAATTCCAATTTTTAGTTAGTTCATGTAATTTTTGGAATTCAATGTTTTTCCAAATTCGAGTTACATCAATTTCTATGGTTCCTAGTTGATGGTGCATGCCAATAGTCCAACCCACTCGATCTCATGTACCTAATTAATGGTCTCTAGCGTTATCTGTCTAGTTGATAGCTGAAGAGAGGCATGCAAGTGATGGTACCAATCAACTCAAATTTGATAATTGTATGAAAGAGTCAAGATTTGTTGTCACGAGGTTGCTTTCTCCATAGGCACATTGCACATTGGTACAATTTTTGACACATCAACACATTACAGATTGACATCTTTTCATTTACTATAAAAAGGTAATGCATTAAGGTGTCGAAAATGTATTGATGGAACAGTCAAGGGACAATAATTTCAGAGTAACGTATCTGGACTTCATTTGTAGTATCTTCGGTATTTTTCTTCTCATCACGAGATAAATATATACTTGTGCTGATTTATTCAAATTTTAGTCTAATTGTTTGCACAAAAATTCAGTTCACTTGCTAGCAGGTTCGATCATAAAAAAATAAAGCCATGTTTGATGTGGATTAAAATCTTGATAAAAATTTAAGTTAAGGTCAAGTTTTAATTTTGAGCTTTAACTACATATTTTATAGGACTCAAAACTTTTCAACCTCACATTTCAACTTTAAAATAAATAAATAAATCAAAATCTACTAAAATTTTGATTTTTAACTACACCTAAATATGGGCTAAAATTACAAGGTGTAGGTGCTTGGATCAGTCTAACCCATCTCCACTCTCCCACCCAACCCTCAGCCTGAAAATGCCTCCTAAGCTCATGTTTGAGCCACATTCTACAAAAGAAATACATTATTCATGTCAAATCAATAGAAAATATGTGGTTAAAAAATAAGAAATTTTTTTAGATTTACGTGTAACATTATTTTATTGAAAAATGTATGGTTGAAATGATGTCAAATCACTATTGAAAGAAAATTATTTTTTTTGAAAATAATATGGCTCAAACAAGTCCTAAATTTGTAACCCAACTCGCTTGCCTTGCCACAATCCCACCCCGCCATGTATCCGACTGGATCAACCTGATCCTCTACCTTCTCTGTATTCTCCCCGACTCTGCCTAAAGATGGCGATCGTAACTCTTCCTGCATCATGATCGTTTACACACTCGTTCTACTCATTCTACAAACTGATGGTAGTTTTGAAGATCGTAAATGATGTCATCATTGAGCGCCCATTTACAACCATACCTCTTTAATCGACTATTGGAGGTAGGGGGCGGAGCAAAGCAAGGGGGAAATTTTTTTTTTACTGGAGTGATACATGGAAAAAAAAAAATTTAAAAATAAAAATAAAAAATACCTTAAAAAGTATATGGACTTGGAGAGTAGGCCTCGCCTCTCCCTCTGCCCCTAATTGGAGGTACAGTTTGCATGAGTGTGATAGAAAAGTAATTTTCAAATAATCACTTTCAAATAAAGTCTAAATAATAACTTTACATCCTCAATTCTCAATAGAGTTACGTAAAAATGTATGCATGTTAGTGAACATTTCCTTTTTTCCATCTCTTCATGTAAATGGATAAACTCACCTTATCAAGCAAGACTAGTTGAGTTTAAAAGAAAATACTCCTTGCAGTAAACGTGGACATCTTGGTAATTCGGAGGATGTTGTAGTTGTTGGTCCATAGTGACAACATAGTTGTTCATGGGAACAAACCGAAATCATGGAATAGAAAAACTATTCTTCAAGCGAAGAATAGCCTTAAAATATGGTGGACCCGATTGGTGGCATTTTCAGGAGATATTATAGAACTTTAAATCTCAAAAAAAAACTTAAAAACCTAATTACGTTATTGCCAAAATCCTCCATGTCAAATTACCAAGAAAATTAATAATGTGGAACATACCTTAATACTTGGGGAATGATTCTTTATTATTAGATCTTGAATCTTCAACATCAACTCAGAATCCCTTCTTGATTGGTTCTTGCTTTCAATCTTGAATTTTGCCTCATTGAATTCTTTGATTCTTGTTATTGGTTTTGTTTCTTGATCCAAAATCTTGATTCTTGAATTTCTTCATCTTGATTCTTGATTGTAGATTGTATATTTTTTATTGTGGATTTTTGATCTTCCTTTTCAATATACTTTCTTTTTAATTCTTGTATTGATAGGATGACACAAAGAATGAGAAGTTACATATGAATTGATGACCATAACCTTATATATAGTTTCTATATATATTTCACTCATCATGAAATACAATTTTAAAGGAATCCGGTCTCTACATATATAATTTGGTCCACGCTTTATTTAGATGCCCTAAACCCAATTATGAGCTTGTTTGGGAGTGATTTTTCATCCCAAAAAATTAATTTTTTTTACTATTGTTTCACTATTACAGCCGTAAAGTTTGACTTTCTCTCTCACATGTGATCCCCACTTTTCTCATAACGGTTACAAAATCAATTCTCAAAATCACCACCAAACGGAGCCAATTTAATTTTTTTATTAGATCAATTTAATTTTGGACTGAACTTTAAAATATTCTTATACAAAATTATGGAAAAATTACAATGCACCCGTCTTTTAAAGAATACAATTCAAAAATTAGGTGAGAAGTTTCATTATTCGTTAATTAAGTGTTTAATATTAATATTATAAATTAATTTATATACATAATACCTCTAACCCAATCATTCAAACCCTAATCATTTTCTCTCTTATCTTCCTCTACATTTTATCTTCTGTGTAGTTTCTCTCTACCCTTCCCTCACAAATGGACTCGCTGTTGCCTCCATCACCGACGATGCTAGAGAGCACTGCAATTGAAGACCATCTCTTTCTATCCTCTTCGTTGTGAGCGCCGCCTAACCAATGGAAGACGGTGGTGTTTGTAGCACATTGTTGTACATAGAGTCCATGCATAGCGACAGTGTTATGGAAAGGCTGTACTCTGTAGAGAAGATGTAGAGTTCTAGCAGATCTGTGCACAACGGCATTGTCACTCCTATTTTTGTGGTTTTGTTGTGGTGGTTGTAATGTGCAGTGGTGGTGGGGGTTCTATATTGTGCAGTGCAGTGGTGGTTTTGCAGTTGGTGGGTATTAGAGTGTACTTTAAATGCTATAGGTCAGAGATGGTGTCATGTTGTTGTGGTGGTTGTGGTGTTTTGTGGTGGTTCCATGTTGTGCAATGGTGTAGGTGGTGGTGGTTCTATATTGTGCAGTGCGGTGGTGGTTTTGTAGTTGATATGAATTAGAGTGTACTTTAAATGCTATAGGTCAGAGATGGTGTTGTGTTGGTGGTGGTTGTGGTTGTGGTAGTAGCGAAGGCGACGGGAGTAACAGGATGGGATGAAGAGCGTTTGTGACCAACTATTTGGTTGATTCATGACTAAGTATTAGTGGTAAATCGGGATCAAAAGTTGAGTGTTTGGTGTATGTAACCATCTATTTAGTACTCTGTGACTAAAATTTAATAATTTGTGATTAAAAAATAATTTGTGACTAACAAATTTGAAAATATGTGATCGATAGATAAACTGCGACTTATAAATTTTTTGATTTGTGACCAATAAAATAAATTGTAACCTATAAAATTTTTGATTTGTGATATCGAAATAATTTGTGATAAATTAATTTGATAATATGTGACCTATAATTATGTATTTATGACCATTAATTGTATAATTGTGACATCATTACATTTAATTAATAAAATATTTTTAATTAATAAATAAATACCTGATTTTTACATTTTTAAACTTAACACTTGGGAATTGAATTGGTGATACTTAGGGCCTGTCTGGGAGAAATTTAAAGCAAAAGAGTGATTGCTGGCAGCAATTTTCCTACCGTTGCAGTACACAATTATTGACTGCCTATGTGTGAGGTGGGACCCGCAGCTTGGACCAACAACTCAATTTTGGCTGAAAATCTGGTGAAAAAGCACAGCCAGATAGGTACGTGATTTATAATTTTTCCTCCAAAATTAATTACATATGTCAGCCCACATGGTAAATTAAATAATTTCCCAACATATAATGGAGGAAAAAAATCAACTTTTATAAAGATGGGACTTCGGTGGATAAAATGGGTTGGAAAATGCAGATCTTGTGGTCCATAATATTTCATGACTAGTTTGCGACAATAAGAAAATACTGATTATTTTGCAACAAACAGAAAATGCAGGGGCAGATTCAAAGCCAACGGAAAATTCAGGGACAGATTTGCAGACAATAGAACCATTAGCGGCATCTTTTGCAGCAACCAGAATAGGGACAAAATTGCTGGATTCTGAAGCCTTTAGCTCAATTAAAGTCCAATTAGTCGGGATTATTTCGGACAAGGGCAATAAAAAGGAGGGTAGCCTGGAAAAATCTAATAAAAGTTTGGGATCTTTTACAAATGGGACAAGGACCAAACGGAGCACGATTGCTAAATCATTTCAAGAGCTACGAATCAAACTTAGTTCGTAACTTCGTTATGTTGTGGATGACTTAGCGACAAATGTTATTGACGGTTCAATTAAAATGTTTAAATGGTCAACAAGTAAATAAATTGGAGTCCAGCTCGATCAATTAAGTTAATGAGAGATTAGGATTTACAGAAATCCTAGAGCACTTGACAACATGTAAGAGAGGGTTTTGAAATTGATGGAGCATGTTGATTCTTAGTTTGGTTGCGAAGAGGCAATGCACAAAAATTCAATCTAACAATTAAGTCCCGTTGGGCCCCATTAAATTAAATTTTTCTCTCTCCTATTTTCAATCACACAATCTTACATAAAATAATATTACAGGTAAATCTTTCCTTCTTTTTCAACCACTCATTTCTCAAAAAAATAATAATAATAATAATATATATATATATATAAAGGTATGGGTTGCAAGTGAAGTCAGAACGGAAGCAACGCCTTCTACACAAGGACAAGGGAATTCGTTTCGATGCTTTTGGGTACATTCATGAAACTATGATGAAGCTTTGAACTTTTCGAACTTAAGAGTTGATAATAAATTTACAAGATCTCTTTCCAAAACCAATTCAAAAATAATATTGGGCTAAAAAATTTAATTGTTGGAATAATGTACAGAAAGCCTTATCGCTCTGCAATAAAGTTTCTAATTTCTTTCTTTTGTGGGAGGAAATGGGTAGAAATTCCAGCTATCCTTGTCATATCCCCTTGCCCCTTCAAGAAATTTGTGTAATTAATCCATAATTTTTATTGTCTCTAACAAATTCATCCACAATCTTTAAAAATTGACTTTTTAATTCTCTAACATTCACTTTCATTTCCTTATTTCGTCATTTTTATATTATTTTATCAACTTCTGGCTTAATTTTCTGACATTTAGAAAGATAGTAACACTATTAGCACAACATTTTTAGACCTAGATGTTTCCACATTTTTATTCCAAAAAAGTCTAGAAACAGAATTATTCTAATCCCTTTCGATGGACAAATCACATCAAAATAAAATTGATTGGTCATTTTCAAAGAGAGAGCTGCTTGGTGTATAGGTAGAGATTTATAGAATCCCTATCGACACCTCACATTGGGGGTGGAGGAGCGAGTGGATTAAATTTTGGTCATTGTTTATTCAGGTGATATTCATGCGTCTGCAAGACTCCTGTACATTTCCTGTGAAGCATAAATCCGTACATATAGATTTATCCTTTTGAAAAACATTAGGTAAAATGTTCGAAGAAAGACAATGAATTTTTTAATCTTTTCACTTAATGGATTTTTCTTTATTTATATGTTTTGTGAATGCACTATTTACATTTTTTTTTCACTTCTATTTTTGCATTTATGTGCATAGATAACTTTGATTTTCATAATTTATCTACTTTTTGACCCTTTTTATTTGAATACAATATTGTTATTTTTTTATTCCCTATGCTTAATTCAAAATTAATTAGATTTTTGTTTTCTTTAACAAAGTTTTGAATAAAATAAGTAATTATATTCCTAATGAGACTTGAGAGCTGCTACAAATGTTGTCTAATTTGTAACATAGTGTCCTTATCATTTGATTATAATGTAAACTACATGGCTAGTAATATTTTAGTGTTCATTTGAATTTTTTTTGACCTTATCATTTTATTGAATATAAATAATATGAATATTACATTTTATTTGCGATATTAGTGTTGAGCTTTAAATTAATAAAGTTAGTTCCATAAAACTTTAGTGAATGAAAAGATGCGATTTGGGGGCTCAATTTTTAAAATTCTTGTCAAGTTAATGAGAAAATGTATGCATTGTATACATACACATTTTTTTTTTTTTAATTTCTCCACGTAAATAGATAAACTCACAATTAAGTTTATTTTTAAGCCTTCGTTTGATAGGGGTTAAAGAGGAATGACGTCAATTTTATATTAAGTATTGTTAACGTATCATATCAATACATTAGTGGATAACAAATAAAACTTAATAAATGTTGAGATCTATTATATAATTATCCATTAATGAATTGATATAACGTGCCTTTGATACTTAATATAAAATGAGCATCGAAACTCATTAGATCATTCCCCAATTTTTAGTTTTTAATTTAAGTCAAAATTAACAATTAATTTTAATATCATAGTTCATAAAATTCACAATTTTTAACCATTTATTTTAGGATTGAACAAAACTTCCGAACCAAACCGTGCGGTTCTTCTTAAATTAAATACCCGAACGAGTATCTGAATCGAGAACCGACGGTATTGGTTCGATGTTCGGTTCTAGGTCAAGAACCAAAGAACCGAATAAGAACCTGAATCTTCATTTTTTAATTAATTTATTTTAAATAAACCAAATTATTTTATTTTTCTAAATAAATATGTTAACTAGTTAATTTAGTTCAAACCCAAAAATAGAATTTTCCTATTTCTAATTTTTAATTAAAAGCCAACCGAATCAAATTGACATAAATTATATTCAAATTCGTTACTCTACTATAGTGTCGTTTTTACCGTTCTGGGAAAATCGAATTGAAGCTCTACAACGCATCTCTTAATTATTTTGACCTCCATATTTTTCTCTTTCCGTGATTTTAACAATCAAATTTATGAAGAGCTTGACAAAAAAAGATGCAAAAGACACATGAAATTGAATTACGTTATATTTTAATAGCTAAAATTGACCATATCATTAGTTGAATTAATAGAACTTTGTAAATATTAAAAATTTAATTATAATACAAAATATTAGAATTGAATGGAACCGAACCTGAACGTACTCGAAAATTTCGGGTTCGATTCAACTAATCCTAATTTATTTCATCAAATTTTATTAAAAATCTGATTTTACCTACATGGGCTAAATGTATTTAGATAATTATACTTTTTATTCTAAAGAAAATTATTTATTTTAAAACCATTTGAACTTAAACCCAATCGGATCCTCATCAGTCATCAATGGAGGAGAAATGCCGCCGGAGAAACAATAATCAGCACCAATCCGGCGGGACCGAAGGGGCGCTTCTCCGGTGCGCGGACCTGGTTCTACCTTACCTACGTCCCGCAGAACTAGCCGCCATTTCGTCAACCTGCAAAACCTTGAACCATATCTCCGAAACCATAACTTCCCGAAGAACCTTCGACGTTTCGAGAGGCTTCGAGGACATTGCTGTTCCTTCGATCAACCCAGTTGTCGGTGATTTAGAACTCTACCCTTACTTTCTCTATACTCCGGTTCAGACCCTCGAATTAAACCCTGAATATCAACAATCATGGGGCTCCGACACTGATACCGGACTCAATTCTCGGATGACGGATCCTTTCCTCTTCCGGGTGGAAGGCGCAGACGGATGTGAGTGTGTGAGGTGCGACAGTGGGGACTCATCGTGTACTTGCCTGGACTCGGACGAGTCGTTGCTGACTCGGGAGTGCGGGCCGAGCTGCAGATGCGAGATGGAATGCGGCAACCGGGTGACTCAGGGAGGCGTGTCGGTGAAGCTGAAGATAGTGAAGGATGAGAGGAAAGGTTGGGGTTTGTATGCTGCTGAGTCAATTCCGAAGGGAAAATTTGTGTGCGAGTACGCAGGTAGTACTTTGGAACTCAAAAGGATCACAATATGTATATTTAATGCTTGCATCTTTTAGGTTAAACTTTAAATGTTAATTTTTCTGTTATATTTGTGGCTATCCTAATGATCATGATTTGATTACACTTATTTTTCGATTTACATTGTCCACTGTTACCCTTTTTTTTTGGGGCTGCCCAGAATCGGTATCTAGATAATTGAAAACAAAATATCAATTCAAATTTAGAAGAAACTCTATCATTCAAGTTGGAAGCTCTAATCTCTAGTGCATAAACACAGTATCTGGAGCCATACACTAGATTAAAACTGACTAGGGTTGGGAGACAATGAATATGTTGTACTTAAAAAAAATAGTTTATTGAATAAACTTAAATAGAAGTAGTAATTGTCTTAGTGACCTTTAATTGGTTAACCTTTGTCATGTACAAAAGGTGAGCTTTTGGCTACCAAAGAAGCAAGACGACGACAACAAACATATGATGAACTTGCACCAAGCGGGCATCTATCTCCTGCTCTTTTGGTGGTGAAGGAGCATCTTCCATCTGGAAATGCATGCATGAGGATCAATATTGATGCTACAAGAGTTGGGAATGTTGCTCGATTCATCAATCACTCTTGTGATGGTGGAAACACCAGCTTAGTAATAGTCCGGAGTTCTGGGGCTTTGCTGCCTCGTATTTGCCTCTTTGCGTCGAGAGGTATACAAGAAAATGAAGAGCTCATGTTTAGTTATGGAGATGTTAGGCTTAGGTCAAATGGTCAGCAGTGCTTTTGCGGTAGTTCTTCTTGTGCTGGCTTCATGCCTTCTGAACAAACATGAGTATGGAAAGGTAAAGTGGTCTAATTAGTGTCTGTTCTAAATGGAAGCACTTTGTTCCTCCATATACTGACATACATATTATGAGAAAGTAGTCTAGTTCATAAAAAATGTTCATGGTGTCTGCAGGTTGAATTAATGTCCTTTAAATGCATTTACATGCTCACATGACAACAGTCAATCACAAAGCAAAGAAAACTGGCACACAGCCCTCCTGGATTTGCTCCCATTGCCAGGTAACATACTGAGCTTGAAATTCTTCGTTTACATTTTGTATCACCTGAAATAATTTCCTTTGAGCAAATCAAAATGAAATGGAGTTGAAGCCAGTGCATTGTTATTACATGTCGCAATAAGAGAGAACATTTTTATTGGCGTCTGTGTGAACTGAATTTTGAAGAATTTGTAATGCATTAGCATCTAGAATAAGTAATTATATTTAAAATTCTCTCTTGTTATGTTTATACGAAAACATCTGAAATAATTGTCCTCTTTACCATATTCACCAGCTATGATTTGTGGTATATTGTTTTTTTCTTTTACGTGAAATAACCTAGTTAAGGAAAAATTGGTGAATCTGAAGAACTGAAATTGGTAAATGATCTATGTACAAGCTGAAATTTTTAATAATTTAGAATTTAGGATGAAATTTATCCCCTTATTGGTTTAGATAAAAATTGAATTTTTAGTAGGGTTTGATAAAAAAAGTTGGTGAAAAGTTGTGGGTCCTATGAAATTTATGGTTAAAATTAATTATTGATTTTCGTTTAGATTTTAATCTAAGCTCTTGTTTGAGCCACATTCTTTAAAAACTCATTATTTTCCATAACTCATGCCTCAAATCATTTTCTACCCCATTCATTTGTCACGCTCTCTCTCTCTTGCCTGTACGACGATGTCAATTAACAGGTCTCAATGCTGTTGTTTACATAAATGCGCCGTTGAAATTTGTTGCTGAAATGGTTGCATCTTTTAGCCTTTCCATTCTAGTATAATCCTTTAAGGTTGCTGGACTATAAATGACACCATACGGTTACTTCGAAGCTAATTATGCATTATTCAATGCAGTTTTGAGTTCCAGATAGCATGTTTGAGATATTTTTGGTACTTCTTTCATATGAATTCCTTATAAAAACTTAAGTTTTCCATTTTTTAGGGGGCTCACTGGCAAAATTCAAGACTGCAAGTTGAAGGCGCCTTCTGTCTTTGCATTTGATCTTATGTCATCGAGTGTATGGCCCTTGCTGTATCGAGGGTAAAATTTGTATTTTGGAGTTCAATTATTGGATAAATGATCATAGCTAACGTTGTGGCAATTCCTTATATGGATTGGAGTTCTATTATATAATTTTGTCGACAATTCACATACTGCAAACATAATCAAACGGTTGAAGTAGAAATACTGTTAATTTTGGTACTTATTTTTTGGGTAATCTGTCTGTCCGAAAAAATAAAATAAAATAAAAAATTATAACCTGTAACTATTTTATTAAGAATTTCTTTACATTTGAAACAGAGGGTAAGCTTTTCATTTGATGTGAACCTAGGTAGCAATTAAAGTTACGAAATTAACGACAGATTAAATCAAATTCAAGAATGTTAAGAATCAACGTTTGGAAAAGCTCAGTCTGATAAATTATTGAGCCAAAGAATTAAGACAATTGCAAATAATATCTTGACCACGTGATAAAAAAAAACTTATGAATTAGACTTGAATTGATGAACGTCGCAAGAAATTAAGCTTTGATAAGTTCATAATTAATTCAATGAAGAATAAGTTGAAAGTAATATGCCTCACAATAATAATCTCTCAAATTGTGTCCTTTTTTACAATGATTTGAATGAGTCATATTTATAAGGAGCTCATAAAAATCAAATTTAAAACGGAATTAAGTTTTAAAGATATCAAAATGATACCATAAAAAAGGTTCTAACCAAAATAGAAGTTTAGGCGAAATATGGAAAATTCGTGCCCTAGTGTTATACTATGCTGTCGCTTAGGCTTAATGCACGCGGTTGCATAGGCCAGTCAACAGCCTCTATGTTGGTCTAGGTGAAGGGCTAGCTGCATAATTAGATACACTGTGTGGTTGCATAGTTATTCGCCTCAACTCCCCCCTCCTCCGCTACTTGAACCAAATCGATCCATTTTGCTCCGTCTTTCAAGTCCAATATGAAATTTGTCCTTTTATTTGTCGTAATCGATATTTTATCCACCGTAACTTGAACAAGTAATCTCATATCTTCTTTGACCTTTTTTGCTCGTAACCTAGTCAATGGTCTTTCTTCCACAACCAATGGATCCTCATCCTTACTAACTCTTGTACCATAAATCTCATCAAAATTTTTGTAAATAAAGATTTAAATCTCCAAAGTAGTCGAAAACCTCTCCAATATATATACACACACATTCACAAAAAGCAAAAAGTGAATTTAGATCTTTCTATTGGAATAGAATTTGAATTTAAATCTTAATCCATAAAGATTTAAATGAAAATGTAAAAGTTTGAAAATATCAATTTACATTCAATTTTACACCATCATTAAAGACGTTCTTAGAAGTATAAAGATGAAAATCCAATCATCCAAACTATGTATCAAGAAATTGATACATAAATAATTCATAAAATAGAAAGTTAATTATTGTGGTGAGAAAACGGAATTAGTTTTTTGAAATCAACAAGATAATATTTTGATTGAATTGAAGCTAGGGCTAGACATGGTCCGATTCGGTTCAGTTCGGTTCTAACGAGAACCGAACCGACCCGAAAATTTCGGGTATTTAGTAAGTGGAACCGTCGGATCCAAATTTAATTACTGAACCGTTCGAGTTCGGTTCCATTCGGTTCTGTATTATAATTAAATTTTTAAATATATACAAAGTTACATTAATTTAATTAATGATATGTTCAATATTAGCTCTTACAAAATAACGTAATTCAATCTTATGTGTTTCAAAAATCAAATTGTTGAATTCTTCATAAATTTGATTTTTAAAATCACAGAAAGAGAAAGATAGCGAGCTCAAAATAATTAAGAGAGGTGTTGTAGAGCTTTAATTCGATTTTCTCCGTTAGAAACGACACTACAGTAGAATAACATATTTGAATAAAATTGAGGTTAATTTGATTAAATTGATTTTGAACTGAAAATTAAAAATAGGAAAATCATATTTTGTGGTTTGAACTAAATTAACTAGTTAACAAATTTATTTAGAAAAAATAAAATAATTTTACTTACTTAAATAAATTAATTAAAAAATTACAAAAATTCGGTTCTTGGCCTAGAATCGAGAATCGAACCATACCATTTGGTTCTTGATTCAAATACCCGTTCGGGTATTTAACTTGAGAAGAACCGTCGAGTTCGATTCGGGTTCGATTTGATCGATTCGGTTCGAAAATTTTGTCCAGCCCTAATTGAAGCTAATGATTGAAAAAGACTTAAAAAAAACCTTTGTTTATACAAGCAAATTATGTCCCTAATCCTAATGATTCAAGCAAGATAAGTAATTAATAACTTAAAAGAATAATAATTTTTTTTAAAAGAATAAAAAATCATAATCTAAACACGAAATAAAATCCTACTATGAAAAAAAATAAATTAATTGTCATCCAATTTCAAATTGGGTCATGCTACATGTCAATTGGGGTATCAATCCTCTCACATGGAGAGGTATCCGCTTCAAATAAAATATAATTTATTAAAAGTGAGCCCTCCTCCATGTGAGGAGAGTGGATATCACTTGATGTATAAGTAACATTATCCGTTAAAATAAGACTGTTTTATGTTCAAAGAGAATTTTTGAAAATAGGAAAATTTGAGAACTCAAGTTTGTAGGAAAATATGTTGATTGTATTGAAGCTAATGATTGAAAATTGTACAAATTTTTTGCTTATATAAACAAATTAAATCCCTATTCCTATTGACTCAAGCAAGATAAGTAATTAATAACCTAAAAGAATAAGATCCGGTTTGATACCCATTTTTTTCAAAATGGGTTTTTCCCTCTATTCTTTTCAACAATACATTTTTTATTAAAATAATATTATACGTAAATAAAAAAATTTTCCTTATTTTTCAGCCACATATTTCCCATCAATTTACTATTCTAAAATGCATTTTTACATAAAAATGGCTCCCAACCACACCCTATAAGTAATAAAAAACTTAAAGAATAAGAAGTCCTAATCTAAACAATATAAAAAGTCCTACAACAAATAATTTTTATCCTATTTTTAATCGAAATGCTAATGCTTGAAAATTGAGAATGTACCAAATAGTGTCATCTTCAAATATAGAGAAAGCAGAATGTAAATATCGAACTTCTATTCAACTGCATTTGCAATATCAATTGCCAGTCCCCATCAAACAACACAAACAAAATAAAATCATAACGGAACTGTGAAAGCATTCGTATTATAGAGTGAAGCTACAATTGTGGGTACAAAGAAAGTAATCGATAGTCGAAATTCATGAGCTATAGTTTAGTTATGTGGAAATGATAAAAACGAGTATTATAGGCAAAATTCAATAACTAATATCTAATATTCGCAATCTGAAAATAGCATTTCAGTCCACTCGCAGAGGCACGTTCATCAGGTATGTGACCTCTAAAACATACCAAAGGCATTACTCCTCATACTACAGAATACTTTCATAATTGTAAAAAGGAAACTCAAAAAACAAGATAACAAAATGCCCACCGGGCAGGGCAGACTACGCCTGTTCAATCATTTTCATTATGAAAAGCGTTTATTTAACTGTAAAAAAACTATCATTTAAGGTATAGTGAATCGGATGATTTCAGACGTCATGTGCCTATAATAACTCACTTGGAACTGGCAAGCTGGGTTCTGAGAAGCTTGCAAGCAGCAACCATGTTTTGAAGGGCTGGCTTCACTTCAGCGTACTTGCGAGTCTTGAGACCACAGTCAGGGTTGACCCACAAGATGTTGGTTTCAAGCACTGCAAGCATCTTGTTAATTCTATCGGCAATCTCTTCTGTTGATGGTATCCTGGGGGAGTGGATGTCATAAACACCAGGCCCAATTCCTGCACCGTACTTCACTCCCTCGCGGAAAACAGAAAGGAGCTTCTCGTCAGAACGGGAGTTCTCAATGGTGATGACATCAGCATCCATGTCAATGATAGACTGGATGATATCATTGAAGTTGGAATAGCACATATGCGTGTGGATCTGTCATTACAAAAGATGAGTTCACAGTGTACCAAACATGAAGGGACCAAAATTAAATCATAATAGCATGGAAGGAACTAGAGCAAAGCATACCTGGGTGGTATCCTGGACGCCAACATTGGTGATTCTGAAAGAGTGTACAGCCCAATCCAAGTAGAACGCATGCTCAGCTTTCCTAAGAGGCAATCCCTCTCTCAATGCGGCCTCATCAATTTGGATAACAGTAATGCCAGCCTTCTCAAGATCCTCCACTTCGTCCTTAATGGCCAAAGCAATCTGATAGCAAGTTTCGAATCTGGCAACCAAGAAAATATTAAGTCAATTATAATCTGAATGAAAAGAAAGAAGGATGAAAAAATTACAAATCATAGCTGGAGGGACAAAGGAGCAGGTACCCCCATGTACCTTGGTTGGTCATTTCGGACAAAAGACCAGTTGAGGATGGTAACAGGGCCAGTAAGCATCCCCTTCATTGGGCGCTTGGTCATGCTCTGGGCAGCTGTGGACCAGAAGACAGTCATTGGCTTGGGGCGACTTACATCACCGTAGATGATTGGTGGCTTCACGCAACGAGATCCATAAGATTGCACCCACCCATTAGCTGTGAATGCAAAACCAGATAATTGCTCTCCAAAGTACTCAACCATATCATTCCTCTGGAATTTAAACATTCAAAAGTAAAGTCAAATTTTTGGATGACCTATAGGAAAATAAAGTATGCAACATAATAACTACCCATCATTCTCAACAATGGCAATTTTCATTATTTGTTTCACAGACTACCGCTTCTATTAGCTTACCTCTGGCTCTCCATGAACCAAAACGTCAATGTCAAGCTCTTCCTGAAGCTCAACAACTTTTTTTATTTCCTCTTTGATGGACTTCACATACTCTTCCTCAGAGACTCTACAAGGAAGAATCGTAATTTCAGATAAGGACTTAAAAAGAATGTTGAAATAAAATTAACAGCAAGGCAAAACAACTACTTCTTGGCCTTGTATTCACGGCGAACTCGTCTAAGTTCAATGGTCTGAGGGAAGGACCCAATGGTCGTGGTTGGAAGGATTGGAAGGTTAAGCTTCTTTTGCTGTGCATCAAGTCTAGTGCTGACATCAGTGGCGCGACGGTGGTCAGAACCTTTCAAAGCAGCAGCCTGAGCGACCATAGGCAGTAAACATTGGTAAGTATAGAAAAATTTCAACAGCAATAAGCGCCCTTAAAATTTCAGAGAAAAAAGTACGCAGATTAATCACTTACAGCCTTCTGGACAGCTTCATTAGTCACCCTTGGAGAGCATTTCCTGGAAGCCTGAGCTGCAGCATTGGCAGAGAAGAATGCCTGAAAAGTGGACAGAAGCCAAATGTGCAGGGTCAATAATAATGTTAGTGACTAAAAGACCAGAATTTACAGGGCAAAACTTTGCAAACAGTTTCGAGATACTCGAATACCATCCGACTTCATATTTCTAAGGATGATAAGAGAGACGTATACCTCGTCTTTCTGACCCGTCAATGCCTTTGCCAAAGCATTTACTTCAACAACTTTTTGGGCAGCAAAAGCAAGCCATGATTTAATTTCTGTGTCCAGCTTAGGTTCATTTACAAGATCAACAGCAGTGTGGAGTAGCGAGCAGGAGGTGGAGACAACAAGCTTGTCTGCATCACACAATCAATAGAAAAATGTGCCCAGAAAAGCGAAATTTAAAAGAACTAGTAACAGAACATTTGGACAACATACCCGTCCCCACAATGCCTTCTAGAGACTTCAGGGTGATGAGAGATGCATCCAGATCGTTAGCCCAAATGTTCCTTCCATCAACCACTCCTGCAAATAGGTATTTTCCGGAAGGATATCCACTTTTTATCAAATCCAAAGTCTTGGTGCCACGTACCAAGTCAAAACCAAAGGCAGTAACTCCCTTCAGAGAGGTAAGGGTTTTAAATGCATCCCCAGGGATATCAGCAAAGTAAGTCTCAACGAGAACTTCAAGTCCAGATAGAGTTGACTCAAGTTCAGCATAGGCCTTAGTGAAGGCTTCGAATTGGTGAGATTCAAGATCCATCACTAGAGTGGGCTCATCAAATTGAATCCATGAAGCACCAGCTGCCTTCAACTCAGAAATAACTTCCCTGAAAGGGAATTGCAAATTCGATTGAAGATTCACATAAGAGCAATGAATATGGAGACTCACCATTTGAAAAAAGTGAAAAACTAATTACCCTTACTTGTAGATAGGAAGAATTTTGTCAAGAAGAGATAGAATAGGGAAAGCTTTCTCAACACCCTTGGCAGGCTTTGAGAGCAACAAGTATGTAACAGGGCCAACAAGCACTGGAATGGTATCTACGCCAATCTGCATGAGGGAAATGAGATCAGTTACCAGTATGTAAAATGATATTTTTGTTGATCCTTAAGTCCAGAATAATTTATGAACTATAAAGTGTTCATAAGCATTGTTGGCAGTAAGCTAAAATAGTCCATTTGTTAATGGAAGTTTTTGGTTGCCACTTTTACATGTTTGATTAGTATGGAAAATGTTTTCCTTATTTTGAGAAAAACAGAACCCTATCTCCCCAGAGAAAATGTTTTCCTCAAATAAAGGAAAACTAGGCATATTTTTTAAATGTTGGAAAATATTTTTCATGGAAAAAATGGCAATTAAACACTCCAAATGTCGAAATTAGGATGGAAAAAGGCCATTCTCCATGGAAAATTTTCCAATCAAATACATTGTAATTGAAAATTGTTGATTCGCTCCCATTTAAAAATCAAATTGTAGAACAGTTGTTTTAGCTCATTAAATAAGTAGGCATTAGATTTAAGAACAATCACTCATCAAGTAGCATTAAATAAAAAAACCAACATTAAAATTTGAAGTATCCAAGATCCAAATACAGAATAACGGTACATGCTGAAAACATGAAACTATAAAACAATGCAGAATGATTCACAAATAATCAGCACAGAGCAAAGTGTCAAATACAGATCTACTAGTTTCCACCACGGCACCGCCCGGATCTGCCATTTAAAGTTTACTCGTACTATACACATCTAATACCAACCCGCACCACTCGCTATCACCCAATTATAAATCATTATGAATGCTTAGTCAATTGTCCTCAATCACAAAGTATGCTAAAAAAATACAGCATTCAACTGAGATGTATTCTTACCAGTAGATCTAAACAAAACGAAGAAAAACTTCGAAAATGGTATTTGACAAACTACAAATTGAACAAAAAACTAAAAAGGGCTAATAAGAAACTATAAATTTAATATGACAAAACTAAAAAGAAGTCGAAACTAGATAAAGAAACACTGTTTAACGGAGTGAAGCATAATTAAATACAAGAAATGAGTGGTGGAGTAAAAATGGCACAAAAGCACAAGGAGGACCGCACCTTTAGGAAGAGGTCTGGTTTTGCTAGATTGTGAGAGATTGGAGACAAGGGAAGAACGCGATTTTTGTAGAAGGGTGAAGGAGATTATTTATAGCGGGAAAGGTGGGTGGTGGGAAAGTGAAATTTCTTGGGTTTGCTTAGAGCCACAGACAGCTCATTTTTAACATCATAATTTGTATGACACTATGACAGAGAGGTTTCCTTGTAAAGTAATATTATGTATCAATATCGATGATTAGTATCAATTTAAATAGCAATAGAATCACTCTTATATTTTTAATAAACTTACGACGTATTTCTATTAATGGGATAATGTGACACCGATCCAATTTGCAATTAGACGATGCAATAAGCAGTGGTGATGTATAACATTATTCATCCTTATATGAACTCTTAACATTCGTTGTACTGGCTGAATTGGAATGTAAACTTCGACTTTTGAAAATTGAAATCATGATACTCAAAAGAAAAATGATTTTTCAAAAGAATAACATGTTAAGTGAGTTGAGATATCATGTCCTCATTTGATATTCTCTCATTACTTTTAAGATAATGTCACTTATATAGTATTGGGTTAAAATTTGAGTGGGTGATGGCCAAATATGGACAAGATATATCAATTATCAACTTGTGTTATGTAATATAAACATGACTTTTACAAGTTGCGAAATATAATTATTACATAACTAGATAATGAAAAGGTACAATTAATGTTCTTATTGTCCATGTGAGTTAATACGTCCGTCGCATGAAATATAACATTAATCATCGCGATGAATGATTATTTGTGATAAAGTTGAAATACGACTGAGGTTTTAGGATAAATTTGGAGAAACAAGAAGTTGACTGCCCAAAATGAAAATTTGTTCAAAATTGTGTGGCCACTAGTGGAGAGGTGATGAGTTGGTGGATTTACTGTTTACCAAACCTGTACTGAATATCCATGTAGAAGTTTATTATTTTATTTTTTTAAGGAATATTTTTTTTTTAATTTTACCCTTTCTCTGTTTGAGTATTTGTAAACGCAAGTACCCAAATTATTGTCCATTTTTTTCTACCCTTATTTTATTAAAATATGGAACACTTAATTTAATTAATTAGATTATTGTTTTTTAAGTAGACGTGTGCAGATTATTACCTTCAATTTTACATCGGCAAAACTGCCGCATATTGGCATACATTAATCTTTTTTTGCAGAAATTCTTCGTTTTCTTTGTTCTACTTCTTCTATGTCTCGTAATCTTATATTGATATTTCAAAGAATTGGAACGATAAATCTGCATATTTAGTGAAATTCTCCACAGTTGTCTACTTTTATCAAGTAAAAAATTAGGAGAATATAAAAGCATTAGAGGTATGGGAGATGGTTATGGTACTACATCATTCGAAATTTCCTTGGGTCTATTAAAATATTCTACTGTCAACTAATTTTATTGTACATAAATTTGAAAAAGGAAAAAAGCTGTAAAATTCCAAGCAAGTTTTAAAATAAAATCTATCTAAATTTAGCAGGTCGAATTTTCTTCTAACATGGGGCACCAAACCAACAAAAGAATTTAGTATAACATAATTATGAATCGTGCTAAGACTTTTGTTGGAAAAATGTGTAAATGACTTACTTTTAACACAATTTTCGATGGCACCTGTTGGTCCAATTTGGAAAATCAATATTGATTTGTGTTCTCCTCCGTGAGAACATCGAAATTGTATACTTGTAAAAAATGAAGCTTGGATGAATGAGAAATTGGAGTCCAAAGTTGACCATTAGAAGATGATTTATGTGGGAAAATTGGATTTGTCCCACATAGGAAAATGAAGAAAGTATGAACCACTTTATATATGGCTACACATTGGAAGGGTGTAATGATGTGTAGCATAGATGCTCTCTCCACATGCGCGCAGAGGGTACAAATCACGGACCGAAATAGCCTTCGGACCTCGAACTTGTGTGCCAACGTGACCTGTGTACACGAGTATCGAACTGAACAGAGCGAAAATTGGCCCGTTTGGAGTGTTCATGTTTTGCAATTTTTTACTTTCTCCAACTGACTTTTAAGTTTCTGAAACTGCTAAAACTCCAATGGTTACTGCGGAAATTGAAGCAACTCCAATGTTTATTATCACAGAGTTAATGAGCAAATTTAAGTTATATTAAACCTCATTTTTTCCAGCAATTCTTACACACCAGAAAATTTATTGTTCCGTCTGCATATACAGTATTGTTCTGTCTGTCTGCATATACAGTTTCTGTCAAACGTTTGGGTGGTAATATTGTTCAAATACCAAGTCAGTTCGTCGGAATAGTTTCTGCAATGCTCAGATTCTACTGGTTTATCGTTGTATCCTGGGAAACAGACGCTCGGGTTAAATTTTAAGCACTTATGGTGAGTGAGCGAATCTGTTTTAAGAAAATTGTGTTCGCACAGGCCTCAAGTTGAAAGTTCATCAATTATTTAACATTTCTGCAGTTTATTCGCGCGCTTCTTATAATTTGCAATTTTATTATGCTATTGTTCTATTTATATTTATTAAAAATTAATCAGCGTTATTTGGTCAACTAGATTAATTTGATCAAATTAGTTTGTTTCTTCAATTGCAATTTAAATCTTCTATATTTTATCTAGTTCACTGCATATACGATATATACAAGACTGGTATATGTAAATACGGTTAGCTATTACAAATACGGTAAATTGTTGAAAAAACGGAATGATGTTGCAAATACGGAATGCTGCATATACGGTAAGCTGTAAATACGGTAATATGCATATACGGTAATTTGTATATACGATGTGCGTAAATACGGTATGTTGCATATACGGTATGCATAAATTCAATATTTAAATTACATATACGGTATGAATGAATCTGATTTCATCCACTAACACTAAATTCCAACAACTTTAAGTTTTCTAAAGAGCCGTATCCACTTAACAGTACATCCCAATTAATGATTCTTCATTTTCTACATCATTCTATAAATATTAATTAGAAAAAGAAGAGTATAAGAACATAAATAAAAATCATATCCCATCCTAGATAATGAAGTTAGAATTATGACTTTGATTGGATGGCACACCCCAATCCACCTACTTGGGTTCTACAAGCAAGCAAAGAATTAACAAAATATTACATAAATACCCTTATGCTTCTGATTGAGCTCATATTGTGTAAGAAAAATGAGTGTTGTTTGAAAGATGTGTGGTTAAAAAGTAGGTAAAAATTTTAGATTTATGCGTAAAATCATTTTGTTGGAAGAATAGATGATTGAAAATGAGTTTTTAAATAATATTTGATCAAACGGGGGATAAGTGTTTGAATCGCGTAAAAGCAAGAAATTAACATCGAAAAGAGACAGAATGACTGTTTCTAACAATAAAAGGTTCACATAGAACGTAAATTTAAAAAAAAAATAAAAAAATACTTACATTTGCCCCTCAATGCCACCAAGATTTGTGGTTCTTATAGGGCTTGGCAGAGAACTCGGCACTAGGTTAAAAGGACCAAAGTTCGGTCGAGTAGGTAATTTTGTTGGATTTTAGCAAAATAATTGAAGTTTTGATGTTATTAATTCAAAACAGATCAATTCAATCTGATTCTTGATTTTAATTTTAAAATTACAACTTAATCTATCCAACAAAAACTTAAGGGTTCTATCGAGGAGCAAAATCAGGTTTTAAACAATTTTATTTGAAAAGACACCTATTCAAATGCATGAAATGTGCATAATCTTTAATCATTATAATATTTATGTCCCCAACTTTTTTTCCATCACATTATTATCCTGAAATTGACATTATTTATCTTTGATGTCCTTTTATGTAATTAAAATATGATGTATTTTTAAAAGGATTTATGAATATAACCACTCAAAATAAAATGGTAACTTCATCAAGGACTAGAACCTTAGCAAAGCCTAAAAATAGGACAATCTAGCAAACTAATATTCACAAGAAATTGCTAATTAATTTTAAAATTTATTAAAGCTACAACAATA